CAGAGAAGCAAGGATAAAGGCAAGACTAGAGACAGCATGGGAGCAAGCAGAGGAGGCAGGGAAAAAAGATACCCTCCACATCCACCTTCAGAGCATGATTAAGACCTCCTCTTGTTGGGCAGAGTTGGAGCCAGTGTTGGAGGCCAAGGGCCTTGCCAGTGGGGGCAGCTATGCATCTAGCCTGGGGAGACAGCTGAGGTCAGAGCCCAGCAAGACTGTGCAGTGGTACCATTAGTAGCAAACCACTGCTTGGGAAGAACTATGTCCCCCCAAAAGATGCTGTAACCCCTAGTACCCTAGACTGTGTCCTTGTTCAGAAACAGGGTCATTGCAGATGTACATTAGTAAAGATGAGGTCAGACTAGAGTAGGGTGGGCTCTAATCCCTACAAACTGTCTCCATAGAAAGAGACACAGATACAGAAGACAGACGACAGGAAGAACACCATGTGAAAAAAGAGGCAGAGGTTGAAGTGATGCATCTACAAGCCCAGATGCTAAGGGTCTACCAGAAACCTGAAAAGATGAGCAAAGTTGTTTTTTTTTTCAAATAGAATTTTCTGTGTAGTAAAATCCATAGGTGACATAGCAAAAGGAATATTTGGAAGAAGGAATATTCCTGAGCAAGGTTTCTATCCAGAGACAACACATCGAAGAATTCCATTTCACTGGGCATACAGCCTGTGACACCTGGGTCTCTGGCTCCCAACCCCAGGACTATGAGGCAGTATGTTTATGGTAGCTGGCTACAGCAGCCCCAGCAAACTAACGTCTCTTCACATTCTCCTCCAGCTTGGGGTGCTCAGACCCACAATTTACTACCGTCTTCTTCCTGTCTTGTCTTGGAACCACTTCATTGCCCTGAAATCCAACCTTCCTCGTACCAAAATAGACTGAAGGGAGATGACCAGAATGACTGTTATTGGGCACTTGCCTCAGCGCTGCAGTGTAACAAGCCTGCAGCAGTTCAAGTTCACAGCTGCTTTTTCTGGTTGTCTTTGGATATCCTAAAGCAACTGTTCCTGGTCCTAACTGGCCTGTGCCCATCCATACTTTTCCCTGGACTTCCTCCTTCTTCTACCATACACCTTTGGGGACTACCAGCCACTTAGATGTCAGGAACTGGGGCCATGAGGAAAGGTTGGCAGTTCATGAGACATGGCTACTGCTGCCTCCCTGAAGATGGAGTGGGAGGTTTTGGGTCAAGCATCAGCTATCTCTAGGCTTTGACGGATGAAAGACTTCCACCTCAGAATGTACAAGCAATGGCACACATCTACCATCCCAGCATTCAGAAGGCTGAGTCAAAAGGATCACAAGTTCGAGACCAGCCTGGGCTACATAGCAAGACATCTTTAAAAAAAAAAAAAGACTCAAAAAGTAGCCAGGTGACAGCCTAATAGATGAATAAGTAATATGTCTGGTGGGCACCAAGCCTCTGCTCAGTGCTAGGAGCAGTCACAAGAACGTGGTCCTGAAGCTGGAAAGAAGCACAGAGCAGGGCAGTGGTGGCACAGGATGTCACCTGTACCTGCAGGTGGCACTTCTGAACTCTTGAGAGCTTTGCAATCCTGGCAGCTGACAAATATGCCACACCTACTGGGGGCTGGGCCAAGGGTCTCACAGCACCAGTTCACTGGCCTCCTCCCACCCATCTTGCTGTGAAGAAAGGCAGGCCCTAGCAATATACCCAGGAGGAAGGATGAAGCTGCTTGTAAAGGAAACTGTGGTATGTGCTGTCAGTTACAGTTGAGTTGCAGAGCCCAGCGTCCACTCGAGCTACTTTAAGAAGGATTTATTACAGGGCAGGTACTAAGTAGCTTAGAGAATCATTGAGGAGGATGATGGAACAACCAAAGTGTAAGTTTCAGGAATGCTCTCCAAACCACTTTGCAGGGTTTTACCTCCTCTGGCAGCAGAGCTCTGGCTTCTGACCTGGCTACTGGATCCTACCACTGCCACCATCAAGAAACCACCACAATTAGAGACCTGCTGCTGTTGGCTCCAGATCCATGCTGTGCCTTCTGTGGTTCACACCTGTGAAGCTAGTGACAGGACCCTAGGACTCCTCCCTTGACCTTTGTTGTTGGCAGCAGAAATGATACAAGTGCAGCCTCTGCTCCAGTTCTGCCTTCTTGTATCAGAACGTCCATAGGAAGAGGCAGAAATAGAATGGTATCCTAGCTGCAAAGGAGTCTGGAAACATAACCATTAATTTTCCATCCTCTGGAGTACAGCAAGGTGTTTGTCCCAGGATGAGGCTGAATGTCCAGACCATAGAATTTAGTGAAGGCAAGTCATGGTGAGAGCAGCCTGCACACTGGGGGGCTTAGCAGGGCAAGCCTACAAAAGACACATCACAAGGCAAACTGGGAAAGGTATTAACCAGGAAGGAGACTCTGATACACAAGTCCTTGGCTTCAATACATAGAAATCAACTAGGGAAGGTGCCATGGTGCAGATACAAGGGCTGCTAGACCAGAGGTTGAGTGACTTTGTCCATGTTTCCTTACTTGCTGGATTAGAAGCCATCTGACCACTACCCGAGCCCTGTCCATAGCTGGCCAACTGCTCCAGACCACTTTATAAGAGCCACTTAGTGGGGAGCTGCTTTCCACTACCATTCAGTCTGATCAAGGAAAGCAAATCAGGGGAACAGAATGTGGGCTGAGCTGGAAGAGGCCAATCTGGGAGAACAGGATCCCAGCACTGGCCCTGCCTGCAGCTCGCTGAGGTCAGGCCAAGCATTTTCACTGTTCTGAGCCTCATTTTCTATTGTCTGTAAGTGGGGTGGGATACATTCCCAAGCCTCTTTTCTGCCAGTGGGAGCAGCTATGGCTTCTGTAGGGAGGGATCCAGGCCTTCCATTGCCTCAGGCATTTGCACAGAACCCATTTGGAAATGTGCCATGATTATTTGCAGCAGGATGCCATTGTCTGAGGCTCACAGGGCTTTGGTCCCACAACAAAGACAGGTGATATTTTGCTTTAGCCCACTCACATCATTATGAACCCCAACCTGTAGAGGAAGAGGTACCCATCTCTGGAATTTCAGGGTGCCTGGATGGGGGGTGGGTGCTGAGTATTTAGAAAACAAGGATTGGCAAAGAGGCCAACTGGGGGCAAGCATGTTAGATGTGGTTCCCATTCTACTGCCTGTTTTAGAAATGAAAAAAGTCTTATATCCTGCTCAACCCAGAGGAGGCATATTTTGAAGATGGGATGGAAAATAGTCCTTACAGCAGAAAGGCAAACAAAGCTACCTTAAAAGGCTGCCACAGGGAGACTTCCATTCCTTCAGACCTCAGCATTCAGAGTGGCCTCCATAAAACTCCCCAGTGCACCTCCCCACTCTGCCCACAGAGCAGCACTGCACCATGCCTGAGGACCATGGTCCTGCAAGACTGGGCTGCCCACTTCTCACACAGCACATCACTAGCACAGATCAGGATAGGCATGTCACAGACCAGCTCAGGGACGCCCTTCCTAATTGAGCTAGAAGGACTACATATCAGGGGAAGATGTAGCACTGCCCCATCTGACTCCCAAATGTCACAAAACTCTGAGCCAGTGTGGTGGAATTGTTTGGATTAATATTGATACAGTTTGCCTTTACTCTTCAGAGAAGTGAAGGTACCACTGAGATCATTGAATTGGGGTGTGCTGGCTGGCTGTTTGTTCTTGGTTATTAAACTGCCACCAAAGGCAGTCTATGTACCTATTCTAAAATCATGTCACACCAAGTGTCTTCTATGTGGCAGTGTTCAGAGAAAGCCATCAGATTTTGTTAGGCACTAAGGAAACCTTGGATATGTTTTGCTGGCAGTGACTGACCCTTGGGAATGGACCATCAGAATCCATAGCTGCTGCTTTCTCTGGCTTTGCCTGATGGAGGTTATTGCCTGGAGTTGGCCAGAGGAGAGCCAGCCCTTGGCAGGTGTGCTCTTGAGGAGGAATGGAACCAATTGGAGAAAGGTAGCAAGACTGTAATAGTCACCATTATAGACATGCAACAGAATGTCATTCAGCCTTTAAAAGAAAAGAAATTGGGGGCTGGTGGAGTGATTTAAGTGGTAGAGCACCTGCCTAAGCAGGTGTGAAGCCCTGAGTTCAAAGCCCAGTACCACAAAAAAAAAGGAAATTGGGACACAAGGTATAATGTAGTTGAGCCTCAAAGACATTATGCTAAGTGAAAGAAACCTGTAACACAAAGACAGATACATCACTCCACTTACCTGAGGCAGATGCCTGGAAACAGAAAGTAGAATGGTAGTTACCAGAGGCTGGAGGGAGTCAGTGGGGATTAGTGTTTGAAGGGTACAGAGCTGCAAAGGAGAGAGTTCTGGAGATGGAGGGTGCTGATGGTTCCTTAACAATGTGAAATGCGCTTAACATCATTGAACTGTACACCTACAAATCATGACAATGGTAAATTTTTATGTAATATACATTTTATAAGTTTAAAAATACATTTCAACAGTAGCTAACATTTATTGAGTACTTAACATCAAGCCCTGTGCAGAGCACTTGACTTCTCGTGTAGTCCTCCAAATCGCATAAAAAGTTCCTACTACTACTGTCTTCATTTTACAAATGTGGTACTTGAGATATGGCATAATTAAATAAGGCTCCCAAAGCCATACAGCTAGCAATTAGTCCAGTGTGGATTGAACCCACATCTGTACAAGTCCAAACCCCATGTCTTTCAACCCTACAGTGCCTGTCGTCCAACAGGTACCAAAAGAGGGGCTCCTCTCCCAGTCTTCAGATGGTCTACAGGCTGATCTTTCTAAATGTCACCATCCTGCCAATACTGGTGATTTCTTTTCCATCTGCCTCCAGAAGGCCTCTGCCCCCTTCAGGCTCCTGCACTCTCTTGTTGTGGCTCTAACCTGCCTTTCCCCATTGTGTCATGTTTTTGGAAGTTGTAAGTTGGCCATAACTTGCATATCATTCATATATATCGTTATTTAAAGAGTAACCTCTTGCCATTCTGTTACAGACCACAGTAATTGATTACGTGAAGCCCTCAGATCTCAAGAAAGACATGAACGAGACCTTCAAGGAGAAGTTTCCACACATTAAGTTAACGCTCAGCAAAATAAGGAGGTATGGGCAGCTCATATGAGCTTCTAACTTTCCCCTCCAGCCCCTCTCCAGCATGCAGTAAGTTCATACTTTCTATGATGGTTTTTCTTGGCCCTTGGGAAATGAAACATGATCATGTTCAGCCAAAAGAGACTCCCACTGCTCTCTGACTTGTGCTTGGATGTCATGGGAGAGCCTGGGACAGCAGGACAGAGGGCCAAGCTCCTGACACCCCAGTTGACATAGAGCTGGGGGGATGTTCGTTCAGAATCAGGTCACGGCGTCAGTAGGCAGTTCACCAGTTCAGTAAGCCTAAGGTTATAGAAATGTCTCAGAGGCAAAGCAGAAGAGACTAGAGTTGGTGTCGTATGGTATGAGATACGTTTACCCACAATTTCCCACCCAGCGGAACAGCAAAGCCCTATCTTTCAGTGGTCGCCAAAGGAGCCAAGAGGCCCATGTTTCTCATATAGCCGATTGGGTCGACTTTGTGGTAACCCAACTCACCAGCCACATGATCTAGGTGACTGACCTTGGCGGGCCAGGGAACAGCTGACTTGAGTTGTATCTGTGCCATGACAGCAGAATTCCAGAGTGTGTGATAACAGAAGTGAGGCTGTGTACCCATGTCGTGTTGGAATATGTGCCAACATTTACAGCAGTGTACATCCTAATACAGATTTGATTCTGGCATGTTCCAAGCCAAAAAGAGAAAAGAAAAATTAAATGCTTATATTTTCCCTGTACTAGGTAGCTTTCCTGAGGACACTGGTGGTTATGCTTCTAGCCAAACACCTTTCCTACCATAGTGGACATAACCGATTGGCCAAGCTCAGACCTGGCCATGATTTACGTCCATAATTTTTCCTCTGGAATGAGCAGAGTTCCCTCTTTGATTTAAAACAGCTCCACCTCTAGTTTCCTGGGCGACTCTCAGGTGTGCACATGTGTTCAGTGGGGTCCTTCTGTTCTGTGTCATGTTCATTAGCTCCCTGGCTGGTTCACTGCCTGCCCGTCATCATCCTGAAAGTGGTGATTTAGGAAGTGCTGGTTCTGGGGCTTGAGTGAAAATAAACATTGTCTGTGCAGCAAAGCAGCAGAGGACCAAGAGCCCCAGCACCGCAGTCTGCTCGCACTCATAATACACCTGCATGATCCTAAGGATGGAATCCCACCCCACACCACCCCCTGCATGTGAAAGAGAAGTAGTTTCCAGATGGAGTCATCGTCTGCTTTTTTGATAGAACTGGGATTTGAACTCAGGGTTTCGTGCTTACAAAGCAGGCACTTTATCACTTGAGCCACACCTCCAGTCCATTTTGCTCTGGTTATTTGGAAATAGGGTCTTATGAACTATTTGCCTAGGCTACCCTCAAACCACAGTCCTTCCAATCTCGACCTCCCAAGTAGCTAAGATTACAGGAGTGGCCCTCCAGCTCCTTGTCTCCTTTTGGGTACCCTGAAACTTCTCCATCTCTGACTGACTCTTCTCTGTTTCCTGTCTTTCTCTAGTCTAAAACGGGAGATGCGGAAGCTTGCCCAGGAGGACTGTGGCTTCGAGGAGCCCACCGTGGCCATGGCCTTTGTCTACTTTGAGAAGCTTGCACTCAAGGGGAAATTAAACAAGCAGAACCGGAAGCTTTGTGCTGGTGCATGTGTGCTGTTAGCAGCCAAGATTGGAAGTGACCTCAAAAAGCACGAGGTCAAGCATTTAATTGATGTAAGTGGCCTGTGTCCTGATGGCTGGAGAAGCAGGCACTCAGTCTGCGCTCCACTCTCAGGAGATCCATGATGTCATCCTGCCCACGGGGGATGTCAGATGCCCCATCTTAAGCTGTCTTAGAGAGATGAGACTAAAGAGCCTAGAATTGGGTCCGCCCAAAACAATCCCTTCTCAGATACCATGGGGTAGAGTCATTCTCACAGCCATAGAAGCACTGTAACCGCAAAGGGTCCTGGGAACAGTGTGACCTGCAAACCCATCAGACACTGCTTCAACACTTAGCGTCCTACTGACTTTGTTGCCTCCTCTTTGGGGAGGGGCATGGATTCAATGGGGAGGTGTCTTTTTTTTTTTTAAAGGAGACTACATCAAAGCAAGGAAATGCTGATTTTCTAGGTAGGGTTTTTTGTGTTGTTTTGGTGGTACTGGAGTTTGAACTCAGGGCCTTGCTAGGTGGGTACTGTAGCACTTGACCCACACACCCAGCCCCTTTTTGCTTTATTTAGTTTCTTGGATTATGTCTCACATTTTTGCCTAGGGCCAGTGTCAAACTGAAATCTTCCTCTTGTCTAGCTGAGATTCTAGGCACAAACTACTATATCCAGCTTATTGGTTGAGATATGAGGGGTGTCGCACTGAATTTTTGCCTGGGCTGGCCTCAAACCATGATCCTCACAATCTCTGCATCTCAAGTAGCTGGCATTACAGATGTGTACCACTATGCCTGGCTGAATGCCTGTTTTACAATATAATTTGATAATAGAAAATTTGAGGATCACTAAAGCCAATAAATCAGGAGTCTGTTGCCATTGAAAATTGTTTTGCTAACAGTTCCCCAGAGGAACTTAGGGCACCATAACAAAAAGCACATATGTATGCTTACATATACAAAAAGCAAGTATGGCTTAAGCCATACTCATAGTTCTAAAAGCTGGCAACTCCAAGGTCAAATTACCAGTTGCTTCTGTTCTGGTGAGGGCCCTCTTCCTTGTTCGCAGATGTCTTCTTTCTGTATGCTTCTTTGGAGAGAAGGACAGAGTAAGTTCTCTGGTCTCTTAAGGACACTAGTCATCGTGAGTGCCCCATCCTCATGACCTCATCTGAGCCTAGTTACCTCCTAATACCATCAAATTGGGGGCATCAATTTGTGAATTTCTGGGGGGGCCACAAGTATTCCACATGATAGGCATGCCACCACCATGGGGCTCAGTCAGGAGGTGGAGGGGGAGGGGCAAGAGCCTTCACTGGCTTCCCACAGAAAGGAACGATGGCAAGGCAGGGTCAGCAGAGACAGGACTGCCTTGCTGGGATGGTTTTAGTGACCTCTGGGACACAGGTCCCCAGCTGTCCAGTACCTGGCCCTGGGCTGACAGGGCAGGCAGATAGAACCCCTAGAGGAAGGAAGTAGTTTGAGATTGTGAGCTCTGGATTCATTGCTTTTTTAACTTAAAAGCATGCTCACCTGTTGAGGAATTGGCTAACCTCAGGAAGGGCAATCACTTGAGGGTCAGCAGGATGTCATAGCATCTGAGTACAGAAAATAAAAGACCTGGTTAGTACAATGGTCCATGTGTCTCGCTATCCATTTATGTTTAGTAACAAAGAAGAAAAAGCAGAAATGGAGTTGTATGTGCTGTATTTTCTTTAAAAAAAAAAAAACAAAAAACAAAAAACGGTATTCTTTAAATCTGTGCTTTCCTGATTTTAAAAATGTACAAAATCAGAAGTTTTAGATTGTGTGCCATTCTGAGTAGTGATGAAACCTGTCCTTATCTCTCCTGGGCCATGAGTCATCCCTTTGCCCAGCATAGCCACTCTGTTCCTTTAGTCACTTAGCCATCTCATTGGTCAGACTGACTGTCCTGGTGTCACAGTCCTCGCATCCAAGTAACCCGAAGTAGTGTAATGCTATGTCACAATGCCTTTGTCATTCATCTCACACCACCGCAAGGGTGAGCCTGGCACAATAAGATACTGAAAGAGAAAGACCACATTCACATACATAACTTTTACCCACAGTGCATTATAGTTCTCTTATTATTGTTACTCTCCCACTGTGCCTCGTTTTTAAATTAAACTTTACCATAAGTATATAGGTATAGCTAAAAAAAAACATAGCTTATCTACAGGGCTTGATACTATCTGTCGCTATGAGGCTTGGAATATATCCCCCACAGATCACTACTATGTAAATATATGGTGTGTGTATACATGTATGTACATATATGTATATGTGCCAAACTAATGAACCTTTAGAATAAATATTAATACAGTTGTAAGTGATATTGCACACATTTAATGATAGTTGAATTAAGGCCACACTAATGCAGAGTATAACAGCCACGGTTTGACAAGCCATTTGCAGTAGCATAAACCTAACATAAGGTCCCTTCCCAGTTATAATCGGAGGTCAGTCAACAACGGCTTTGTTGGTGAGCTTTCTTTTTTATTTAGCCAAAAACTGAGTTTAAGCTAAATCAGAATGTACCCTACAAAATGAGGCCTTCCTGCCCACCTAGTGCTGGTACCCTACAGTTGGGTGGACAGGTGCAAAGTCACTGTGCTCAGCTGTTTAGCTATGGGATGCTCCGAAAGCCAGAAAACCTTCCCAGGACCCCGTGTGCAAAATGAAAAGAGCCAATTACAAATAATCCTCTCGCCCATTCTGAACTTAGGTGAGGTCATTAGTGTCATAGGTGGATTTGCCATCTCTAGCTTTTACCTCTAAGCATGAATAACTTAGTTATAACAGGCGGAGCTGAAATCCCAACTAGGTTAAACAAGTGATCTTGATCTCTTGGAGCCTGATTACTTGTCTGTAAAATGGAGATAAATGCAACATCAGCCTTGGGAGATTCTTAGACGATTAGATGAAACCCTGTGATGTATTATGTGTCTCCAGGCAGCCACAGGACGTCAGTCCTGGTGGTGAAGGCAGGAAACGCAGTCTATGTAGCCTCCTCTCCCTCAGAGTCCATAATGGTGTATGGATTGAATATGGTTTGTACCTCAGAAACTTGTGTTGAAATCGGCTTGTCACTACAGCAAGTAACTGGCATTAGTTACAAGAGTGGATTATATTTTATCTTTTCTGCTTGCCCTTCCACCATGAGTTTAAGCAGCTACTCACTTCACTTCACCTGACACAATCACCCAACCTTGAACTTATCAGCTTCCAGAATCTCTATATTCTTTATAAATCACCCAGTCTCAGGTATTCTATTACACAGCAGAAAACAAACTTGGCAGTGAGCTTCTCCAGGAGCATTCACTGACTAATGGATTAAAAAAAAAAAGTTGAGCTCAGAGAAAATTTAGAATTTTAAATTTTAAATTTCAAAACTAGAATGTTTTTGCCTTTAATTTTCTTGCAGAAACTGGAAGAGAAATTTCGGCTGAACAGGCGAGAGCTGATTGCCTTTGAATTCCCGGTGTTAGTGGCCCTGGAGTTTGCTCTTCATTTGCCAGAGCACGAAGTCATGCCTCACTACAGACGCCTGATCCAGAGCTCCTAGCACAGGCCCCGGGGGCCAAGGACCACTTCTTCTGAGCACAGTGGGTACCACTTGCCACTGGAAATACAAAGTAGACCACAAAGTACCAAGCTTCCTTTTCCTCTCAATGACTTTTCATGGAGAAAAGTTTCAGTACAAAAACTTTTCAGAGTGTCTTCGGTCTGGCTGAGGGGAGCTGAGAGCCATGTACAACTCGGAGCAAGTGAAGAGGAGCCATGTGCTACGGGCGGCCTTTCTGACTCCCCACCAGCAAGAATTTCACCCAGGCCCGCCTTCCTCCCAGGCACACAAGAACCTGGCCAGTGTGGCCCGGGGCCTTCACTCCAGACTTAACTCCAACTCCAAACGTGCAGATTGGGTGGGGAAAGGTTTAAAAGTTACTCTCCCTGTGTCAAAAGAGCGTGCCAATCTATTTTTGTACCCACATTGGAAGTGCACTTTCCCTGGGGCCCGGGGGTGTGGACACATGTCTGAGAGATGCCACCCCAGCCCTTGGTCCCAAAGCCAGGCCCACCCACTGTAGAGCAGACTTTGACAATTACTTCTAGGTGGTTTCTGGATAATAGTCACTCAATTCTGAATTGACATCCTTTGCCCTTACGATGACATTGTTTCTGTGACTGCTCCTGCCACCCACAGGACAAAGAAGACAGTTCTTAGTGTTGGCTGAGTCACATTCAAATGCATGGAGTGGGGCGCGCTGCATCTGTTTAAAGTGCACTTGCTCCCACGGCAGAGACAGTGGGGGTGGCGCTCATGGTATTCCTGTGCTCTATGTTAGAGTGCGTAATAAGCACATTTACTGTGCTAAACCCATATATAGATATATAAGTGTTTTATAAAATCCAATCTAGGGGGAGGACTCATGATTGGTGTTTTGTGGGTTTTGCAGCTGGGACAAAAGCATTTCAGCTGTGGTTGAGTTGATTGAGGTGGCAGTGGCTCGTGTTACCGAGTACCCAGAGCTCAGTGCGGAATTCTAAGTGTGGCTTGTCTCCATGCTCTCTAGGGCCACCTGTACGGAGGCATGTCACCATAGCATCCCCTTGTTGCCACAGGCAGGGGTGTACCCTTACTGAAGAAAGCTTGTGGCCATGTACATAGAGAATTAAAATATTTTATGGTTTTATATATACATGTTTGCGTATGTGTAGACCCATCTCAACAGTCACCTTGGCCCTCCATCCCTACCCCTGATTTCAAACACAGATCTGGTGAGGTTACACATCTGGAGTCCCTCACTCACATCACCCAAAAGAGGCGTGGAGGATGTAAGCATATACAGCTTTCATTATCAAAGCTCAGAACAATCCCATAGTCCTATAGGGTAGACTTTTTTTTTTTTTTGAGTGTCTCTCCGTGTTGCCAAGGCTGGCCCTGAACTTGCTTCCCAAGTGGCTAAGGCTACAGTCGTCCACCATCCCACCTGGTTCCTACAGGATAGAGAAACTAGCGCAGCTGGTGAGAAAAACATGGGAGACAGCTTCTTCACTTTTAGACTTAACTGAATTCAGTCCTAAATATTTTGCTAACAGATTTTCTTGGCCAGGAATCAGTTTTTTAAGTTGATGATTTTGATGGGGGAGTATGATAAATATGGTCTCTTGGCTGATCAAAAGCTAAATAAATTGGGCTGGTAGAATGGCTCAAATGATAGAGCACCTGCCTCCCAAGTGATGAGGCCCTGAGTTCAAACCTCAGTACCACAAAAAAAAAAAAAAGTCTAAATCAAACCAGGTGTGGTGGCTCACACCTGTGTTGGAATTCATAACCCTCCGGTGCCAAAAACAGACACACAAGAAACAGAAAATCTTGACAAGGTAATTTTCTCTTGATCAAGAGGGTGCAAGCATGTGCTCTCTCCAGTAAGCAACACGCAAGCACAAGATGACTGACAGTGGCTCCTCCTTATATCCCTGATGCAGTTGTACCTGCCCCTCACCTGGGCTTTGTCCAGGTCAAAGGCTCACAGTCTTTCCCGGTTGGCTGAAAGGCTTGGGGGATGGGTTAGAGCATGCAGTTTGTCAGGCAATGGAGTTGTACAGGAATCGGAAGAAGAAGCAAGGACCCTTTAAACATGCAAGTCACCTAAGATGGTGACCTGAGGAATTTTTAAGTAATGTAAGAGGGTAACAAACACTTTGACAGAAAAGATCATTTTTCTTACAATTTTCCCCTCTTTTAATTTAAATTCTTTTCTTCAAACTCATTCAGGAGCCATTGATTCTCGTGTTCCTGCATTTCTAATAGGAACAAGTTATTCTGGTAGGGTGGGGTGATTTTTTGGTGAGGGCTGTCTCAGTTAACCACTGCACTAGTTCTCGGACACAAGGAATTATGCAGCATCCTACTAAAATTAAAACTCCAGCCACTATGATCAAGGAGGTTAAGATTGAGGTCATCCAGCCCTTCCATCTCTCAACCCAATTTCCATTAAGTCAGTGAAGGGATCATTTACACCCGAGTTCTCAGCTCATTAGGTAGGGAAGTTAATCCCTGTAGGGCCTTAGTAATGGTTCCATCAGGGGCTGTGTTATTTGGTATATACGTGCAACATGAAACTCCAGTCATTATGCAAACTCCTCCCTTAGACATCATGTCTAATGCTAGCTGTTCTCCCAAGCCATCTGGCTAGTTGGTCCAATTGCTCTGCCATTCCTTTGATGGCATCTCTGGTATAGTTAACAAACCTTTGTTGGTTATAATAAATATAATTAATCCAATCGACATTTTTATTTATAGTGGACCACCAGATAAGTACTGATTCAAATCCTGCCTCAATTTGATTTCTGGCTTTGAATTCATTTGGCACCCTCTAGGAACCCCAATGGCATCAATGCAAGCATGGGGAACAAGGGAGCTTCTGCGGTTGGCTGCAGTGTCTATGTCTATGTCTCTCCTTTTTCTAGGTTTTGTGGCCCTGGCTGGGGATCCAAATGGTAGGGTGAAAGGGACAGCCAACTGCACCAAAGCACAGGTGCCTGCCCAGTTACCTGGGACAGTCTCAAGCAAAGGTCCTCCGCCATACCACCAGACATCGGCTCTGCCCACCGAGAGTGTGGACTGGTTTGTGAAGCTGGTGAAGGACCGGCTTTCACTGTATCCCATCAGGTTTCCCACATTTGTCAATCGTCCCCCCATCTGGTGAGACATGGGGTATAATTGACATCTAGAGTGGGTGTCCTTATAGTCCTTAGGGGCTGACCCATTGGACCTCTGACCTCTGGGAACAGTAGTGATAGAGTCAGGCAGGATTTGTTGCCCCAAGCCTTGGCATCCTAAAACAGCCAACATGCAATACATTCCATCTGGATCTGAGGACCGTCCTAATGGAAATGGGACCACCTGAGACTCTGACCTCCCAGTAGTACAAACATAGCAATTACTCTTATTTAATGTGCGGATAGCATTTTATCCATTCCATCCAAGCATTTGTATCCCTTTACCCTATTTCAGTAGCCACAGTTTGTCTTAGGTCCTTGACTTCTACTACAGCTACCTGAGTTCGATTGTTGTACAAACGTGGAGGTGACATTGGAGTGGAGGTAGAACTGGGTGTCACCTAGGAGGGGTTGAGAGCTAGATGGAGCTTAAAGGCACCTAACAAGTCTGTCCCTGAGACATCTGCCCAACCCATATCTACGAAATAGATGGTCCTTGTGTCATACTCCAAGGGCTTTCTGTGACTAATCTAAGTGGGTTACATTGTTTATCTTTACAAGTAGGAGAGGGGTGTGTCTGAAACAGTTGTAATTTTGACTGCAGTCTGTTAAAAGACTGTCAGTTGTTCTGGATGGTAGAAATTGGAGTTTTTGCAGTTGGGGTCTGGTCCATCCCTTAGGATTGTCATAAAAGGGAGAAATGTATCCTTTATCCCCAGTGTTTCACCCCACATCCATCCACTCTGGACAGATACAAGGCTTCCCTGTGGGTCCCAGGATGGGGCACATATAAAAGGAATATCCTTGGAGCTGGAGTTGGGACATAAGGCCTCCACAAGGAAGGATCTGGCATGTATCGAATTCAACAGTTAAGGGAAAAGCACTCTGAGTTATATTAATAATAAGCATACCATTTCCCAAATGAAAGGGAAAGAATATTTTCACCATAGTCTTTTTTTAAAGTCACTTTGGTATTGTCTGGATGTGAGAGCACAGTCCATTGTTCCTTCTGGTCAGGTGGGGGCACTTTCTTTACCCATGTGTGATGAATCCATCCCCACTCCGTGGTCCAGACGGCTGTCTCCATGATCAGCAGGACCAGGAAGCTTATTTCCCAAACTGGCTCAAGCTTATTTTCTTTCCAGGTCTTGATTAGCACATAATCACCAGGCTGGTGTGGGTGAGCAGGAAAGTCAAGTGGAGGAGCCTGTGCTAACAATCCTTTTTTCCTAAGACAAAGTAATATAGAGGACAATCCACGTATAATTTTTGAGGAAATAGTCTTTGGTTTCAAAGGAAGGTACATCAGTAACAGAGCTAAGGTAAGGAAGCCCATAAAGCATCTCATAGGGGGAGAGGCCAATGTCCTTCCGAGGGGCCGTCCTAATTCTGAGTACTGCTATGGGAAGACATTTAGTCCAAGGTAATCTGGTCTCTAAGATTCATTTAGCGAGTTGGTTTTTAAGAGTCTGATTCATTCTTTCAACTCTCCCTGAAGAAGGTGGATGCCAGGGAGATCCCATTCGATCTCTAGAGCTTTCATAAGTCCCTTAAGGACATTGGCAGTAAAATGACTCCCATTGTCTGAGTCTTTATTTTCTATAACTCCAAACCTTGGGCTTATGTTTTCTAGTAATAACCTAATTACATTTGTAGCAGTGGCCCCTGGGAGAGGGATGGCCTCGACCCAGTGAGTAAGATGGTCTACAATAACCAAGAGGTATTTAAGATGACCTATTTTGGACATGTCAGTGTAATCTACCCGAGTGCTTTGGAAAGGTCAGAACTTGGGGTTTCTAGCCCCAACTGGTCTGTCTCAGAGCTTGCTTGTTAATCTTTCAACAAGTAAGACATCCTTCTGATACTTGTTTGGCTAGTGTGCAGATCCCTATATACCCACAGGCTCACAAAACTGCATCACATATTTTGGGGGGTCCCCAGTGGTTCCCTTGATGGAGATAGGTAAGGCGTTCTCTCACTAGGGGCTTTGAGATCATTTCCCTCCCATCGGGGAGAACCAATTTTCCCTGTTCAGTCCTG